CTGTGATGCGAGGCCCCGGGGGGCTGGGGTGGCCCTGCCCCGCTCCGGTGGCGTTTGGTTTTAACCTGGGGAGCTGCTTGTCCTCCGCTTCCCAGCTTCTCCCGGGTTCTCGAGTAGCAGATGACTAACGCCTTGGCTCTTTGCGTGAACATTTATATAGAGAGAGAAAAAACAACAGAAAGCCAGCATGTGTCCCACCCACAGAACCCGATCAGAAGTAGCGTTTAGCGTGCTCTGGCTTTCATCGCGCTCTGCAAACATTCACCAACTCTCTGGCGCAGGTTGTCAACGGCTCGGGCTGGCTTTTTGGAGACCTCGGCTCGGTTTTGAGACGAGACCGATATTTTTTGTCACAGCAGCATCTTAGGCGGGGAGGAGGGCCATCGGGTCTCGTGCTTTTGAGACGTCAGCTGATGGCTGCAGGGGCCTGGAGAGGGATCCAGCCCTCCCTTTCTCGTCCTTGCTTCTGCCAATTGAAATCCTGGCACGGCAAGCCCGAGGACGCCTCTCCTTTCCCTGGGACTCACGTGACGCGCGGCCTGACGCGACCCTCTCGCTTCTTCTCTCGGTCAGATATTTCTCTGGGATCCAGCCACGGGAAATCCGATGGGCCGGGCGCTCAGCGGCCACTCCAAATGGATCACGTGGCTGTGCTGGGAACCGCTCCACGTGTAAGTGATGGGCCAGCCTTCCCCTTCCCCTTTACTCTTAAGGAAAAGAGCAGCTCGGCCATAAGGGCGCTGCTGCCGCGAGCCTTTCTCCTGCTGCGATGCGCAGAGGGAGGACAGACCGCCGGGCAGAAACGCATCTGGCTCGTGCACGGGAATCCCAGCTTCTCCCTAGCGTCCCGGTGTGCTTGGGGAGTCGCTGCCGGGCTGTGCCTCAGTTTCCCCCGTGCATAGCTGCCTCTGGGGAACGCTTAGTGCTGGACAGACGCGAGCCGTGCTCCTCGCCAGCGCTGAGCTGGGAAGAGGCAAGCCTGTGCGCGCGGTGCCTGAGCTCGGCCCCTGCCAAACACTCCCTTTCTGCCCTCCTGCGTCCTGGTTGCCTCTGACATCCGTTTTGTTTCTTGTGAGGGCTGATTAACCGTGCAATCTCCTCATCCCTTTGATCAGCTGAAGCTCTGCCCGGGAGAGGTGGGCGGAGGGGGAAAGTTGTAGCTAACAACCCGAGACTTTGTAGAAATAAAAAGGGTCCCCTTCAGAGCGCAGCCCTGCAAGTTGAATTCCCCAGCAGGAGACTCCAGCTTTTGCAAGCAGTTAACTGGGTTAGCCAACACCGATTGCAAGGGAGGGTCAGGAAATGGAGAGGAGGGAGATGACCCCGCCAGCGCTCAGCTGCGGTGCCTCCGGCCAGCTGCACTCCCTGCTCGGCTCCTGCGCAAAGCAGGAGCCCTGCTCTCCCTCGCCCCAGCGTTGCTCGCGCGGCGGGGCGCGCT